GTCTGTCTCTAAATCTCTGTGGTAGCCGATCCTGTTTCTTGAGAGGGTTGTATCAAAGTTATTCGAATATGGCTTTGGTTGTTGCAGATTACAGATCTTAAACAAACGATTTAATAACATCTTTGTTGTTCCTCGCCAAAGAGCACAAGAAAAACAAATGATCTCCTGACTTAAAAACCACATCATGTAGAGGACAAAGCAATGAGCCAACATCAATCTGTCTCATATCCAAATTATCCCAAGTGGTTATCCTATTCAAATCCAAACGCCAGACAATAACATTGACCTTAATTGGAACTAACCAGTTCCATCTAGTACCACTCGAGTCCACAACCAACAATTTGGAATCAATGCAATTCCTAGCTGAGGCAACAAAACAGAACATGAAATCCTTGTTCCACGTTTGGCAAGACTTTTATGTGGAATTGACAAGAACAAAGTGGAACAAGACCTGTTCCACCCCTACCCCATGGAACATGGTGGAACAAGATGGAACAGACTTATATTTTACCAATATAACCTCAGAAATAAAACATAATTCTCTTCTAAAACATCAAATTGGTCTCATTTTTACATTTTATTCATTCTTTAAATTTTATTTAATGTATTTTATACTTTTTAAACTTTCATTATACTTGGGGATGGCAAAAAAAAAAACGAAACTGACGGCGAAAATCGAAAACCAAACATTTTGGGTCGTGTTCAAGGACGTCGTAACAAGGATGGGGCGGGAATTCGGGAGATTTTTGGGGATCTTAGTACAATTTTATTTATTGTATATATATATATTTTATATTAACATATATCATTCAAAAGTCAAAACTCAAAATACCATTGGACTTTCCATTAGACATTAAAAAGTTTAAAGCCCAAACCCAAATGGAGTAATGGACTAATAAGATTTCAATTAGATAGAAATTGATATCTATCAAGTAATAAGAATTAGATCCATAAATCCAATTCTGATTTTGAAATCAAGTAGAAAAAGTCAAACCATCGTTACCGCTCGAATCTCGATCGACAATCGCTCATGATCGTGAACTCTCAGTCTCAGTCGCTCTCAGCTCCGGCTGCTCTGCTCATGGTCTCTCCTTAGTCACAGGTAAATAGGTATTCTTTCATTTATGTCTCTTGATTTTACTTGTAGCAGACTTCTGTTAGTTTGTATAATGTTTCTTGATTTTGTTCCTAATCAATGTTTCTTCCATCTATGCATAATGTTTAGATTTGCTTTTATATTGTTTCTTCCATCTCTACATGTATACGTGATCAACTTCTACTATTTAATCCCAAATTTTTCATGATTTATCCTCAATTTTTGTTTGAAAAATTTGCGTTTTTTCAGGGCCGATTTCGGGTTCGGATAAAACCAACGGATAATAGTTGTTTTTATCTTTAACGAGTTCCCCAACGGGGATCGGGAAACCGCATGGACCCAAGGGGGATCCCTGATAAGATCCGCGACGAGGATAGGGACATTTACAAGGATGGTTATGGTTAACGGTTTTGGGGATGGGACCCTAACAACCGGCCCGAACCTGGCCCGTTGCCATTCCTAATTTCACTTTTCTCAAAATATTATTTGTATATGGTTTGTATATTTTTATTAATTTATGTAATTTATTATATATTCATAATAAAAAAAGATCGTAGAAAAGGGATAAAATAAAATTTGGAAACTACATAAATTTTTTATTTTGGTGTTATTTTAATTGTTTTAACGAAAACTTTCTAATGATATATTTTCTTATAAAAAATAATTATTTTTTATAATTTAATAAATTATTAAATAAATTAATCATAATATAAAAACAATTCATTTGGGGTAAATTTGTCATTCTACTTGTTTTGTCTAATCAAACATTGAACAACCATTTTGTCATGTCCTATAATGTCTCAACACCAAACACACCCTAAAAGAACTTGATCCTTCCAAAGATCACACCCATCAATCTTTTTTATTAGAAACCACAACATATTCCACAAGGCAGAAAATTGAGCCAATTCTGCTCCCCCCCGGCCCACTTCGAAAATAACCAAACTAGTCCTCCTCGTTCATTACACGCTCTTTGACAAGTCCTCACCACATCTTCCACCAAATACCCAAATTTCTTGAAGAACTTAAATGTGAAGTCATCTAGTCCCAGGGTCTTGTCAACTCCACAATTCCACACTGCCTTCTTAATTTCCTCTCTGGAAAAATCGGCTTCAAGAAAAGTAAATTATTCCCTCAAAATTCCTTTTGGAAACTCAAACTGAAAAGAGGGACGAACCCCTTCATGGCCTCGAACTTGTGCAAAAAATGAAGAAAGAATTTCATTTTTAATCTTAGACGGATCCGTAACCCATCCTCCATCCACCAAATTGCACATCGCCTTCTCTTTTTATTAAGAATCCCATGAAAGAATCTCGAGTTTTCGTCACCTTCAACACCCCACCGAATTTTAGATCTTTGCATCTCATCCTAATATGCATTCAAGAGTGGAGATCACTTCTTACGTTTATTACCTTAACTTTCTTTCACTGAAACCCAACCCCATATATATTTGTGAAACGTTCATTAGACACGATTATTTATAATTTTTTTTACTGGAAATGACAAAAGTCTGATTAAGTGAGATGTAAAATATATCTTATCAAGTATCTATTCCACATCATCAATAACAACTTGGAATAACTAATATGCATTTTTGTCAACTCATGTCTTATTTCATACTCTTATTCCAAATTGCTTTTTTATATCAAAACAAATTAAATAGAACAACTTTATCGCACAGATATAATAGCTCATTTGGATTGTTTACTTATGCTTATTCGCACAGAACACGGCTTAATCGCACAGATAGAAATGATGTGTTGTTCCCATTCAGGTACAAAAATGACACCCCTACCCCTTATTTAAAGCACCGCCTCCTTCTCAAATGAGACACCCCATCGTCAGCTTCTTTATGATTTTTTATTTTGATGTTCAAATAATTAATATTGGAGGATAAATCGGTCATTTTATGTTATTCAGACTGTTGGTTCAGATTAAAAAAGTAAACAACAACACCCATTTATCCAGACAGACAAATTTATTCAACATATAAATTTATCCATATAAAACTTAATAAAAAATTTGATAAACAACCCCTTAGTTTTTTATTCATTTGTGATCACAGAAATACTCGAGAATGGACATAAAAGGGTAGTAGTCAATTGCTTGGCATGATGTCTTATCATGAAGACTTCCAACTTCACATGGCCCAATTTCGCCATCATGCACCGAATAAATGATTAAAAAAAACTTATTTTAAATAATAAAAACCCATATGTTTAATCCAACAATTATCCTTTGACCTTTTCATTTTTCAAATATACATTTACATTTATATTAAATTCTTTATATCACAATATTTAATTGGATACATATTTTCAATTATAAGATTTATATAATAAATCTTAAATTATGAATAAATTCTTTTAAAAAAATTGAAATAAAATATCAAAATTAAAAATCTCCAAAAATAATTATAGTCAATTCCAACAACTGTTTTTAAAGGTCATAGTATTAATTTTATGAATAAAATATTTTATAAATTTAATAAAATATTATTTTTTCGAATAAACATTTAATTTCAAGACTTTTTTATTGATAAAAATATAATAAATATCGCTCATGACAATTATTAACGAGGAACTCCTTCTACACTTTTTGTGCTATTTTATTGTGATTTGTTTTTGAGAATTTGTTACAATAATTTTTTTTGTACAAAATCCTCACCTTTTCTCTTTAAAAAATATGTGAGATGTTTATTACGATTGAGTTGGAGTTAAAATTTTATATTATAAGATTTAAATTAAAATATATTTTAATTAATAATTGAATATTGAAGATATTTTTTTAATAATTAGAAAACATGGAGACAAGAGTTGTGTATCAAAATTTATACCAAAAATATCTTGTAATCGTTATCCAAAAAAAAAAAAATCCAATTGAAATAAGATGTGTTTATATTTAGACGATACACATGATAAATTATTATATATTTATTTTAGAAAAAAAAGGAAAATTATACTTTTGGTATTAATATAATTAGTTTAAAAAGGAGATTTTAAATATTTTGGAGATTATTTTAAATTTGTTTTTTAAAATAAAAAAAGCAAAAGGAAAAAGTATAAGTATTTAAATTTGGAAAATCATTATTTATTTAAACCGAAATCGGGCAAATGTTGAAAATGATATATATGATATTTAAATTAACATAAAGAAAATCCAAACAAAAATAAAAATTCCTTTATAATCACAAAAATTCAAATAAATAACTTCAAATTATTTATAAAATAGATGATTATCCTAAAATTAATCGGCTTATATAGGGATATAAGATAAAAAGACATAAAGAAAATATAATACAACATATGTTGGAAATGGTTTGTCTAGTTTGGGCCCACATGGCCCCACCTTCCCAACACCAAAATGACAGTTGGTAAAAGTGGCGAGCACGATAACCAGATTAACTAAGCGACACCTCAGCACAAGAATACCTGCACGTCTATGCACGAACGACACGGATGCATTACATTCCACCCATCATCAGAATAACCACCACCACCACCACCACCACCACCCTCACCCTGCTTTGCTTTCTTTCTACAAAATTCGACGCCGTCTGTGGCGGAAGCTGGCCGAGGTTTCTGTTTGGTTGACTTGAAACCGACGGCGTTTCACGGTTACGCAACCCCAAGCGACACTTCTATTGCTCCAAACTTAAAACTTCCTTACCTTCTTCTCAAACCTTTGATCATTTATTACTCTCAAAATTGCTTCCCCCCTCTCTCTCTCCAATTATTCTTTGCTTTATAAATACGATCCACTTTCCTGTAAAATTTTACTAATAAAAAGTCGCTTTTTCATCATCATCTTCGTTTTTGGCGTTTTCACTTCCAGGTGACATGAAGAATTTCAATTTAGTATGTTTCCTCTCTCTCTCTCTCTCTCTCTCTCTCTCTCTATATATATATATATATATATAGATACATATACATACACACATATTTGTATGTGTCTGATTGTTTTGTTCGATCATGTCATATGCTATCAGGTAAAGAAAGGACAAAATTTGTGTAAAACCGTAAAAGAATTTGGTTTATAAGCTAAAGTTGTGCAAGTATTTGGAGTCGATTTGTTGTAGGTGTTAGCTCTTTCTTCTTCTATGAACAGGTGAAGCTTTTGGCCCATACGAACCCTTAGTCGGTGTTTCCTGATTGGGGAAGGTTAGGTGGACAGATGTAAGAGTGAATTCCAGCAAAGGGAAAGCTGAGATGCTAATTTGGGCCTCGTTTTGATAGTAATTCGTAGTTTTTGATTCGGTTCCCTGAGTCAACCTCTGGTTTCTTCGCCGGTTAACCTGAAAACAACGAGTTTTGACTCTGTTTCCGGCACTAATTTGTAGTCAGAAAGTGGTTTTGTAAATATGGTAAAAAGATGCAAATTCTTGGTCTTCTAGCATTTTCATAGCTTCTGATGCTGGAATTTGACCCATAAATTCTCCAGCTTTCTTTTAGTTGGTAATCTGTACCAAGGAATACGGATACAGCCACTGGCCTGAGGATTTGGTGTTTGGGTTGGGTCCTTGGCATCCCCTTTTTCTTTTTTCATTAACAATCAGTGTCTGGGTCAGCTTGTTCGCATCTTTGACTAATTCTGTAGATGAATTGGTGGGCCGGATAAAATGAGATAAGATAGAATAAAAACTTTTGTTGTCCGCACGTGGTGCCACATTTAGACCGCAGAGCACATGAGTGACCGGTGGACAAAAGGAGACAGGACATGACCGACCGGTGTGGCATTTTTTTTACTCGATCAAAATGAGATGGAATAAACAAAATCAGGAAAATTGAACAAGATTGGTAAATTACTAAACTGTCTTGTCAAATTAAAACTATGAAATCTTTATACATTTCTACCTCACTCAGGCCCGTCTAGTCCGGTCTACATCCCAATATACCTCTAGGAGACTCCAATTCCTAGCCTTTATTTGTCTTTTTAGTTGGTCTTTTTCATCCTATTCCGTTAGTTTTGCACTTGACGGACTCGTGCTTGACGTTTTCTGTCTATTTTTTAGATTTTGGGATATAAAAACTAGGCATAAATCAGATTATAGTGTGGACATTCAGACATAAATATAACTCTGTTTCCAGAAACAGAGTTATACTTTAACCTTGTAGACTTGAACCGTAGCGTCTCAAATTTAAATTTGATGTAGTAATTTGCTACAGATATAAGATAATTGTGTTTCTGTTCATAATGGTTCTTTCAAGTTCAAGCAGAAATCTTGATTCTTGAAAATGAAGAACAACAAGCATATTGCCTTTTCATGTTTAAAAATCACCACTTTGACTATCAAAAGTCAACTCCAGCTCCATTTCATGAGGGTGCCTTTGGTACGCAAATGGGTCGGGCTTGATGGGCGAGATTGAGGTGGGTGGTTTTCAATTTGACATGGGTACTTTAGTAATTTACTAATCTTGTCCAATGTCTATGATTATGTTCCACCTATTTGGGTGAGACAAAAGATGCGTTCTTTATCCCACTCAATCATGTTCTGACTCAGTCTTAATGGTGCACATCGAACGTAGGACATCAATTTTTGTCCAATCCCGTTCTGCGTACCAAACACACCCCAAACAAAGAGGTATGCGTTGACCTCCTAGAGTCAAACCAGTGTGTTTTGATATGAATTTGATATAGAAATTAGTAAGAAGTGTAGCATAACATATTGATTTCTGGTAGTTCTATCAAAGTTCAATCATCAATCTTATTTTTATTTTTTGCAAAAACGAAGAACATCCATATGATCTTAATGACCAAAAACACTCGGTTTGACTGTAAAATAGTCAACACCACCTCTGTTTCATAATGATCTCCATTTCACTCCTCTTCTTTCTTTAAACATTTTGCAGGTCTCTATACCGTCTGATCCCAAGAGTAGAAAAGGCGTCGTCAGTCTCATTACCCTCGCAACTTTCATTTGTGGTTTTTATTTCCTCGGGACTGCATTCTTTGCAAATGACTTCAAAGTAGTTGCCGTTTTCCTTGCAGTTGTTTATATATCTTTGATTGTTTATGGTATCAGAGGCTAGTAATGTGATCTACCATTTTAGATTCTGCAAAGATCAGAAATGGAATTGAAGGATGCAGGAAACCGTACCATATCTGCAAAATGCAAGGTTTTTATCTTTTGAATATAAACATTACAGTTTCAAGTTTTCTTTTCGGCTTAAACTTAACGTTACCCATTTGTTGTAGAACCTTTGCAGGCCTCCAGGAAGCGGTGGTTTGCCCGAAGGAATTCTTGCCAAAACTTCTGACTTGCATATGCGCCCCTTGTGGGGTTCATTTAACGATAGTGTGAGGCAATTCACATTTGTTTTCGCTACCTTCACTGTCTCGTTGAAAATGCAACATCTTTTTGTAGAAAGCCTTTATATTGAAATTACGTATTTGCCCTTTATTGACATCATATTAATCAAACAAGCGGTTTGGAGTTTAAAGGAATTGAGTAATTATGTCTTTCGTTGGTCTTATATATATTATGAACCTTTCTTTTTTCAGAACCATTCAAACCGTTCTGTGAGTTTGCTGGCGATTGCAGCTGGAATAAAGCAAAAGTATCTCGTTAATAAAATTATAACAAAGGTAAACTCTTCTATAAAGCGGTTTATTAGGACATTTAGATATATTCAGCATTCCATAAAGCCAATTTTGTTGTAGCGTACCCATGATCATATGTTGGATCTGGGAATAAAATAAACAAATAGGATCTTACTAACTCCTTACGATAATGTTGCAGTTTTTAGAAAATGGCTTTGTTGTAATGGTCTTTCATTATGATGGCTTTGTTGATCAATGGTATGATCTACAATGGGCTAGTAATGTCATTCACGTTTCTGCGATGAACCAAACGAAGTGGTAAAGTCTTTTTGGCTCATCGGCATTTCATTTCCATCACACATCTAATTCTACCCTTCTTTTAAATCTATGTAATGAGCCTCTCTTTCGTTCTTTATATTTTTTATAATGTCTTAGGTGGTTTGCTAAGCGTTTCTTGCACCCAGACATAGTTGCGGAGTATGATTACGTGTTTCTTTGGGATGAAGATCTTGATATCGAACATTTTGATCCAGGCCGGTAAGTGTAAGCTTGTCACAAAAAATGTAACTTTATGAGTTGCTGAAAGGTTCGTCCTTATAAAGACGACTATTTGTTTGTGGGAAAATCTGTGGTTTGATCATATAAATGCATTTCTTTTGTAGGTATGTATCAATTATCAAGGAGGAAGAACTTGACATATCGCAGCCAGCACTTGATCCCGGAAAGTCAGAGGTTCATCATCAAATTACTGTACGCCGAAGGAACTCAAAAGTTCACAGGTATTGATGCTCATTACAAAATCAGCTTTATAGGACGCCATACAAGTAGATGTCCTAACAGACATCTTTATATTACTTAATTTTATAGAACCAAACAATTCTGCGTCCTATGTAAAGTTGTTACAATAAGTTGATAGGACGCTCACAAGGTATATATATATTGGAACCTCCCCCTTCTCCTCAAGGGTTCTTTTGGTGAGTGATTTGGGGGTTCCACATATTCTCGTAGGACAATTCCAAACGAAAAGAAAACACTACACTTTACGTATGACGTATTCTTGACCTTCTTTATACAATAAACAGGAAGTATATTAAGCTAAAAGGCGGTGGAAGGTGTTATGACAACAGCACAGGTCCTCCATGCTTCGGGTAAACTAATACCCATACGATACATGGTTTAACTCCAGAGAGAAGAAGTATCATGTTAACGACATGTTTTGCGTTGCAGTTGGGTAGAAATGATGGCTCCTGTGTTCTCAAAGGCTGCATGGCGATGTGCATGGTATCTGATTCAGGTATAGAACTGAATATGAATTATCTTCGTTTATGATTAAAAGGGGTCGAGAAACCGAGAGCAGAACTTGTTTTTATTTATGAATACCGTATTATACCTTACGGTGGTGATTGTTTATGTTGAACAGAATGATCTGATTCATGGATGGGGGATCGATTTTCAGCTCGGCTATTGTGCTCAGGTAAATCAAATCAATCAATCTCTATGATCTTGCTCTACGTTATGTTGTTAACGACTAAAATTCGAACCGCTTCCTATAGGGCGACCGAAAGCAAAAGGTTGGCGTGGTTGATGCTGAATACATAGTTCATCTGGGTGTCCCTTCTCTTGGTGGTTTAAACCATGTAAGTATTTCTGTTGACTGCATTGCTACATAGAGATATCTATGTGGGTAAAAACCGGTTATAACCAGTCCCGGACAGAAAGTGTTCCTACGTAACCGGTTATTGGGATAACCGATTCTGGTCCCTAGACTCAAAATATGCAACTGATATGGGCCGCTATAACCAGTCTTCATGGTCATACTACAACAAAATTGGGTTTACAGGACATTTCCAATTTCTAAGCGTCCTAATAGACCTCTTTATAGGACTTTGTTTATAGAACCAAAAAAATAAAGTGTCCTATCTAAGAGCGTTGTAATAAGTTTATATGACGTTTTTTGACGTCATAATAAGTTTTTTAGTACATTTTTAATATAGAGCGTCCCATTAGCAACTTTATAGGACACTATTTGAAAAATTGTCCTATAAAAACAAGTCTCCTATAAAAAATTGAGTTTATAGGACACTTTCTCAAAAGTGTCCTATAAAGTTGCTAATGCGACACTTTGTATTAAACATGTCCTAAAAAAACTTGTTAAGACGCCCAAAAGCGTCATATAAACTTATTGCAACATCTTTAGATAGGACGCTTTATATTTTGGTCCTATATATTAAGTCTTATAAAACGGTTTATTGAGACCCTTAGAGATTGAGGTGTCCTATAAACTCAATTTTGTTGTAGTGGGATCAGGTCAACTTAACTGTCAGTTAATAGCACTGTCAGGTTGTGTTTTTGAAAACAGTTGGTCCTAAGTCCTAACTGGTTAACCATAACCGGTCCTTTGATAACCATACTTTAACTGGACATACAAAATATAGTACTACATCCCTTGCGAAAATAAGTGTTCTCGTTTCTATTTAGTTTGTTCCAAGATAAGTTTCCACTTTCAAAAGTAATTACATATTTTCCAATTCTACCCTTGATTATGAGATGAAAAAATTCAATACTCCCTCTATTATTAAGAGTAAGATATCATTTAGTTAATTAAAACATGTAATAGTTACATAATTCTAAAACTATACGTCTTTTTCATTGTAGACATTTATTTTGGCACAAAGGAAAAACAGTGACTCAAAACATAATCACTAATGAGTGAAGTTGGCTATTGCTCCAAGATTTGCACTATTTAACGCTTTATTTTGTTCCGTAATTCCTATTTACATCGGCTTTTTTTCATTTAGGCGAGCAATCATGAGTCACTTATTGATCATGTAAATGCAAAAAATTCTACGATAGATACAAATAATCGTGTAACACTGGTATTTTTCTTAAACTTGAACTATTTATTCCTTCTTTCTTTGCTGTCTACGTTCTATTCATAATGTCTGATGTTTATTAACTGCAGTCGAACAATAGCGATGTCCATACAGCTGATGGTAGATCTGAGGTAAGTCCCATATAGCATTTCATGCAGACAACCTCTATGAGATTGTATGTTTAGCGACAAAAAATTTCTCGTTTTTCCAGTAGAAAACCATCTTACAATTGTTTCCCTCGATCATATAATTACCTTAACAACCCTCTACGGTTGCGAAAATGATGCCATGAGAACATATATAGGATACCGGCACCGGGCCTTATCAACTTGTTTGATATGATTGTTTTTCTTCTCCAAACTACAACATTGTTGTGTTTATAGGACGCTAAATATGTCTAAATATCTTAATAAATTGCTTTATGAGAAATGATTGTGCCTTTTATATAAAGGTGTTATGATAGGATATGTTAAGACGTATTTGGGTATCATAATAAGCTTTTTACGACACTTTTGAAATAATGTGTTTTATTAGCTTATTTATGAACACATTTTTATAGGATATTTTTACCATATAATGTCATATAAAAAGACTAATACGGCGATTGGTTTCAAAAGTGTCCTGAATAGCTTGTTAGGATGCGCAAAGTTGTTCTGATCAACTTATTGTAACACCTTGACATAAGACGAACAATGTTTAGTCCTATATATATATAAAATAGTCTATTAAGACATTTAGACATACTTTAAGCCGATTTTGTTGTAGTGCTATAAAACCTTCGTTTCCGAAGCTATATACATGCTTTACTTGTTTTATAAGTTGTATGCATTGGATAATTATGTTTCGTATATTCCCTTAAAAGACCTCGATATATATTTATATATTTATATATATATGCAGGTGAGGAGACAGTCGTATACGGAAATGCGTATCTTTCGGCGTAGATGGGATGAGGCAGTTAAAACCGACAAATGTTGGGTTGATCGATATGCAGATCATGACAGATCAAAGAAGAAATGTGTTTCGGGAGCTTGTTAATTTACATCTATACGAACTCATAAGGTAGCTCTACCCTACCCATTCATGATTCTTTGAACAACATTTACAACTCGAAATCATTCATCCTGGTCGAGACGTACGGTGATAACTTAAAAAGAAGTGGATTGTGTTTATATATACACACACATATATGTAATTGTAAGGGGAGGTTCCCGGGGACAGCAAAAAAATGAAAAACTGAGAACACCCACCGTTTATCTGAACGGCATGTACATGTGCATACAAGTAATTTGTAAGCAATTTTTCTGGTATATAAGAAACCAAGAAACAACTTCAATTACTACCGTCCAGATGAACGGTCACGAGATTGTTCTTAGTTTTTTGTTTTTTACGGTTTTTCCGAAAACCCGACCCTGTAATTGTATGTATATTAAATTTTTTGGGTAGTTTTGAAGCAAGTTGGGAGACGTGTATTTTTTGTTATATTGATATGAATTTTTCATTCCTAATAAACGGCGTTTGAAATTGATCACTGTTAAGGTTTGATCATAGTTTACGGTCATCTCGAACTCAGTTTTTAGGGCCAAAATGATGTCCGATTTTAACTTTTCGAAAGATGTGGTCGAGACGATATCGTCAACATAAAGTAACAGGTACGCTATGTCAGAACCGTGATGATAGATGAACAATGAGTTGTCATTTTTGCTCCATAGAAACCAACCTGCAAAATGTAGTTGGCAAACCATCGGTACCAAGCCTGAGGGGCTTGCTTTAGGCCGTATAGAGACTTATGAAGGCGGACATACATGGTGTTATTTTCCATACTTTTAAACATTTCAATATTAAAACAAAATAGAATTCTTACATCAACAGAAATATAAACGAAACAGATTACAGATTAAGAA